TGCCATGTTTGCAGAATGGATTTCGGCAGACATCACTTATCTGTACAATGGATGATGCACAAAATGCTCAGCATTGTTAGAATGCCAATTCACATCATTGTAACATAGAAAAGTGCTGCAAGAAGGACTCGTGAATATGTTGTGTTCTTTGCATATCAAACCACCAGCTACTTCAATCCCTTTACTACCTAATTGTGGGTTTTCACAATGAAGCTTTTGCAGTTTATATTCAGTTCAATTCTCTTTCCTGTATTGTTGAGCCCTTCGTGCATTGTCTTGGCTTCGCTGGTTGTGTTTCAAAAAATGACGACGTCGTCAGTAAAGTAAAGATTTAATAGGAAATTTCCACCAATGCATGACCTTTTAGTCCCATTCGAACCACCTCATTATCTAACGCATTTCGACAGTGAACGACTTTGAAGAAATTGTTTCGTCTTAACGGAGCTCATTTCCTGCGGTTGGTAAAGAATCGATGGAAGAGATGTATATTTGCAATGCACCTACGATAGAAATCGGTTAAGATTCTATGTATTATTTTCAACTTTAAATTATACGACCGTTCAGTACACCTATTATGCGGCTTCCAACACTTCTTGCATTCAATTCGTTTCCCTCCCATTCATCGCCCGCAAATGTCTTCGGACATTCCGTATGTGGCTTCGTCTACTGCTTCAGGATTTTTTCGTCCTTCTTAACAACGTCGTTAGTGCTGGTTGAGTCGATTCTCTCTCGAGTCGTGGTATAAAAATTTTGGAGCGTCCCAACGTGGACTGGTTTGACCGAGTTGATCCCAGAAAGCCTTGTACCAATTTCTTGACACGAAGGTGCCTGTGAGAAACGGCATCACTACCACTGTGCTACCCACTCACTAGAATTTTAGCCTAAAATGGGATTAAAACCGTTAATGGCACAACTATATTTCCTCACCAATGGCTTCCCGCCTTATCGTATTTCACCTTCTATAATTATGTCGACCTCCATTTATCCCATTTAATGGGAGCAAAAAGTTACAGTAGACTGATGGTATATTGACTTTGACATGAGCAACATTAGCCAACTGAACGCCTTGTAGCGTAAAAGGATAAAAAGAATAAAGCTCTCGGCGTTGATCAATCGCTGACGGATGTCCCATGCATTCGACTTCATTAAGCGTCGTTTGAATGTGACTGGATGCATATTTGGCCTTTACAATGACTCGCGGTGGCCTACCGATGCATCGAGCCAGTGCCGCTATCTTCTCATGGAAGTCTGGTACCAAATTACCGACCCCGGAAGGATGGAAGGCTTGGTGGGCCATGGGCGCGGGGATTGATTCCTCGTGGGGGATGCAAGGCACCTCCGACCACTACACCACATGCGCTCTTATCGTAACTATTCCAAAGGTTAAATCTCTATTCACTGCCACACGGTGACGGTACAGATCCAGCCGTGGTGCGCCCTATAAAATCAGTAAATACGGCGTCCTCTGAGTTCATTTTGAAAATAGTGCCTTTATCCGTAGTACTAGATATGTAGTTGTTTCATCTTCACATTGCGTGGGCTTAAATTTCTCTCTTCTTTCCTTTTCAACTGTCGCCAATGGATGAACTCATGCACACGTTTTGTCAATCCGACTACTTCAAGAATCCATCGTCTTCTCCATGCTTTGCATGCTGAACATCGAGATAGATTCGCCAAGGCATACACAAGCTCTTTACTACATCTAGAGGGCGCCAGTGATTTGGTGGAAGATTCGACCCCTTACAATCGAAATTTTTCCACTACCGCTCCGATTCCTATAATTAGTTAACCGTTGACTGAACACAATATAATAAGATAAATATGAAGCCGTAATGATACTAGAATGAAATTTTGCGGAGAGAAGGGTTCTTCAGCTGTGCGCTCCATTATTGACAAACAGCCGCAAGAATTTTTCAAAATCTACGATAGTACAGCTAGTACTCGGTGCTTGATGATTAACTTTACCAAATAATGAAAGCTACTAGCTCATCACGTAGAGTACTGCAAATGGCGAAATGTTCGGTTGCGAAGAAGAACAGCGTTCGTGATTCATTTAGTGATAAATTCCGACTCCATTAGTCATATGTGAGGATTGCTATGCATGAAATCGTTCGAAATAAATCCAATGCACAGATCCATATATCTTATCTCGCCCTTTTTTCTTATTTCGTAGTCATCACAGGAAACGTCTGACTATTTGCGTGACAGACGTGTGTTCGGATTAAATGTATGTCTCGTCTCAAATAGCAGATCGACGTGTCTCATAAAGCTTTCTATTGTTGTCAGACACGGCGTCGAGCACTACATGTGAACACCAAGCCGTTAGATGTCGACGTAAGCATTACGTCAAGAAAATGACATCGTTCACTAGTGGTAAACCGTTGCCCACAAACAATATTCTTAATTTTTCATTCGAAATGAATAGCTTTCTGTATCTCGACGAATTTTCCCTGTTTTCCAATTATTGAGTCTATACATTCACCCTTCTCTATGCATTTTTGATACCCGTCTTTCTTGAGGTGAGAACAAGAACAACCGTTTATGGAATATTAACATCCACACTAACCATTAGCAAGATGATTCGAAAGACCGACTTACAATGAACGTCTCATTAATAAACAATTTGCACTTTGCTCATCGCCCTTGCTAAGCTAACGCGACTTTGTTACTGCTTCTTCTCGAAACGATGACTGACATCTCCGTAATTTCGCCTCTCTTCAAAACCTAAACATATTATACACCCTATTTTATTTCTGGGTGAATACTGCCTAGTCTGTAAGATGTGTCAGAACACAATGTTGGAAATATACTGGTTACTGGAAAACTTTGAATAATGAAAGACTATCATCCACCGCCCATCATTGATTAAAAGCTTCCCGAGTACAGAGGAATTCCATTGGCTCATATGTGATAGGTCATGGAGCTTTTTATTATGCGTTTCGATTTAGCGCAAACTCATTATTCGCCATAATCGCGTCAAAAACAATGCGCTTTCATTCCATACCAGCAATATCCACATCGACAATTACTCTTTAATCAATTCCAAATACTAAAAACACATTTCATTTATTTCCAATTCATGTCTAATTCTCCCATTTAAACGAGAAGCTTCCATTGTACAGAAAGTAATAAACTCCTAGTCGAATATTAAATACTGGATGCGCGTCGTTGACATTAGCCCACCCAGACACGATGACGTGACTTCATCGGACTATGTGGTGCGAAAATAATAACTGCTTCGATCTTAAATCAACATTTCATTTCATAGCGAATTTTATTAACCATAGCAAAAACTACTAGAATACTCAAATCTTTGCCTGTAGGATAACAGCCTACTTGTTTAACTACGAGAAATTTCTGACTCACTGAAAACCACGACCTACAACCTGCTTTTTTGCCTCAAGACTCATAATTAAACTCATAATTAAAACTTTACTTGGACACTTGGATGGCCCATCTTCACTGGTTGTGCCGCACGAGCATAATTTCCACTTTTTCGGAGTTTTGCTCGTTTAGTCATTGTGGTTCCCTGGAGTCCCGATGTCAGCCAGGCCGAAGTCTGCCCTGTTCGTCACCACCACAAGTAGCCGCCACTCTGGTGGATCAAAGGAAGATTTGCCACCATGTAACTAACAATTAAAACACGAAAATTTGACAAACTAGCTTCCCTCTAGACGCACATGACGGTATTCTTCGATGTGTCGTTCGCATTTGACGCTGCCTTGTTGAGAATTTTAGAACTTGAAGACCTTATTTCCGCTTTTCTCTTTGAACCTTGATTATAAACATGCTTACGTTTGAAAGGACACTGTATAAAATTTATATACATAGGTAGTTCGACACAATAAAACCTCTCTTATGGGATAATACATTTGCTAGTTGTAGAGCTCTTCGAACAACCTGAACACATTGTATTCCTCATATTTCTGCTGCGCTACGCTCAGACCACAGCACCTCCCACACACGTCGGTACGTCGCTTCCTGCTTGACAGAACACCGACAAGGTGTTTCTAATGTGTATCATCGTTTGGGACGCACTTAACATGTTGAACTCCAATGACTGATGCCCTTGGCCACGTAAGATAAAACACTTTAGCCTATAATCCTTGTTCTTTCATATAAATATCATTTCTGCGACCATAATGATCTCAGACCCAATTCCTTGTCCCTAACGGTCATAGAAAGCTTGTAAAAATACGAACTGACATTTACTAAGCCGTTAAGTGACCGAAAACTTTGGTCACTACGACAGCAAAAGGATGCGGACGGCCGGTTGTAACTGATACGTAGTGGTAGCTGTAACCGGTCACTTACACAAATGAGTCCAAACACCAACACTTACATGAAAACATGGGAAAGCCATCAGTTTTATGACAAAAAAACATCAATGAATAAAAAACCGAAAATGATTCATACATAAATAAATCCATAACATTAATCAGTTTCCATAAAATAAAAAACGCGAACTCTGTTAAGACGGTTAATTGCGTGCAGAGTAACAGGTATTAGGGACTAGGAGCGAGCTGATGTGGGGTGGTGTAACACCACCATATAGCAATTTGTAACATGTTCCATAATGAGAAAGAGATGAGAAATTCGTTCGATTAATAACAATAAATAGAGTGAATACACATGAAAGTACAAACGAAACTAGTACAGGATCGAAATGAAGGAGTTAGCGGAAACAAAACAATAAGAATGGTGAAGAGGCTTTGTCACGCTGGTACTGTGTGGGCGATGAGAGCGAGGAGCGAGTGCAAAAGCAGCGATAGTAGGAGACCATGATGTATTCGACACACTCCAAAGATCACCTATGTAGTCAGGAATCGTCGCGACGCATACAGGTGCGTAGGATTCGGAGGCAGCACCCCTTGTCCAATTACATTGAGCTTTACTCAGAACATAGAACATATGAAGATCTACACGACGACGAGCTTAACGGGAAAAAAAACGAACAGGGGCAGGCCAGGAGGGGAACGAGGATGAATAATGACTTCATATCAGTTCCAAATCTTCAGGAAGCTATCCCATGATCCGGTGCAAACTGCCATGCCGTCTTCCGTTACGCCAAGACACGATACTCGATTATCATGGCCAGCCAACACACCTATAAGGGGTAGCACGTTGTTTCCTTTATCACTTTGGGAATGTTTAGAAAAAGTGGTTCCTGACCAAAACCCATATATGCAAAAGCACGACTTCATTCTAATATAGAAATGGATCTACTTGACTATCAACTTCCATCTAAAATTGTTCCTATTCAAAACGAAAACGATTGGCATGATCATGTATTCGTTTGCTATACATGCGAATATAGCCTCTTTTTTCCGGTTCCAGTTTTAAAGAATGTGCAGTACGACATTCATAACACATCGGTGTTATCACAATACAAATTGAGAAACTGCCACATATATAACTAAAGAAAAATCACGTTCAGATCTCTTTTCAGATAGCGTTTTTCCTAAATTACAAATACAACAATAGATTCTAACCTTGTACGCTTCTAATAATGCTATCGCATTCTAAACAGACGAAAACAAGCCTCACTGGTGAACTCACGACCATTTCGAGTCCACCAGCGAACATCACCATAAATTTCCAGCTTTAATTAATTTCTTCCACGAAAGAATCGATATCAATGCACTCAACAAAGCGTTGGTAATTTCCTGAGGGTCTGCAGCATAGGAGAGAGAACACAAGTCTGGTGCACGCCGACGATCACGCAACGAAATTGAAAGTGCGCCGTAGCGTCCACCAGAACTGATAATCGCCAGACTCGTACGCCAAAGAAGCAGCGGAGGCAGGAAACAAAGTGAGTAGAAAACGGTGATATATGAAACGTATGACCGCCTGCTATCACAGTGTGGTTGGTATTAATGTAAACTTGGCCCGAATGAAATTGGCCCACTTCACGTACAAATCGATAGAAGTTAATCTACCCTCCAACACTGAAATTGAACGCAATTATTGTTAAACGGCCGACCTGCTCGCTCTTGCCTCATTGAATCCCAAACGTTGCAATTAAAGTCGTCATAACCAGCGAATAACAGTCTGCCAGATTTTGAAAATGCGACACTAGTAATTCCTAAAACGACCGTTTGACCACAGCAAATGCAACATCTTGAAACAAGTTTTGTATCAGGGACTCGTACCACAAATGATGTTGTCGTGAGAGTACATAGCAAGTTCCTGATCCGCACGAATATCGAAGAGCCGACAAGTTGCGTCATCTGATCCAGTGGCAAACGCGTAACCGGACGGGAAAAACTAAAACAAATCGATGGTGATGGGAACAGAGTTTAATCTGACTGTTGAAAAGCGACTCACCGCGACAGCGTTGATATCGGACTCGTGACCAGGAAACGTTTGCTTACACATTCCATCTCTTATATCCCACAGCTTAAAACAAGCAATTACACAAAGGTTGGCAGAGAAGTAAATAACAGCTAGTTTGCTCAGCAACTACTAAACCTAGGCAGATAACAGAAGTTTATACCTTCGCACTAGCATCACAAGCACCAGAGATGAATGTGCGCATGTCAGGCGCAAGACTCAACGACATCACATCTCCCGTGTGACCGGTGAAAGCCGTACACTGTTGACCTGTTTCGATATCCCATAGCGCACTATAAAAAGCCACAAACTCGGCGAAAGTCACATCACCGTCTTACAAATTATGCTGGCACATTAAGGAGAAACCTAGCTAAGAAAACCGCAAAGCAAGGGCCTCTATGGTGCAGTTTGTAATACACGTGCCCCTAGAAAGGGTAATCGTGGTTCGATCAGGCCAGAAATCCAAATTATGCGAATATCTCGGCATCGCTGTAGTTATGATGGTACTCCATTCTTCTACCAACACGTGTGAAATGATAAGTCGGACATTATGGCATTTCAGTGAATTAATTGGTTTCCTAGGTTACCAGAGACAAGAGCGCGAACAACGATACTCAAGTGTCGGCATGTAGACTTCATATATGAGTAATAATCTCATAAAGCATCTCTTAAGCGATAAAAAAAAAATATGTTACTAATGAGATATAGAGAAGTTATGAAGACCCATAAGACTCTCCGAAACAAAGTTTTATTTCACCCATGTAAAAAAGGTTCTACCTTTTTAGGAAAAAGATTAGAGGAATCACGAATACCTAACAATGGCTTTCTGTACGCTTATCTTAAATCAAAACTATGACAGAAAATGAACTATATATTGGAGCTTCTTTAGACCACAACAGAGAAGTGCGCAATTTGAAATCGATATTTTGATGCTGCCGGACAGAATTCAGGCACTATCACGAGCAACGAACTTCTTTCTACCTAACAGGACAAAACGATCACTTCGCAACACGGCTATTAATCAGTACGATCAAAACAGCTACGAGAATATGATCCAGAACAGAAGAATCAACTTCTTTCATACACTAAATTGGAATTTTAAACTACTGCGAAAAAAATCAGCAATGCTAAGGACCTCGATATTTGCACCAGATACTGGTGCTGGGTGTTTTTGTTTTCTGCCAATTTATTTCAAACGTTATCACATCAGGATTAGATATACCAGACTATTTTAACGTTTTATACAGCATGATGTGATATATAATACAACCACAACGATGCCGAGATATTCACAAAACTTGGACCACGGGTCATATCGAACCATAGTATAGTGTCTCCAATATTGATACGGCTCGATTTGACCCTGGGTCCAAGTTTTGCGAATATATCAGCATCGTTGTGCTTGTATTGCACCAGACTATATTTAAATAATCCCTAAAGGATAAACATAAGAACACTAACAACGCTACAGTAGAGCCGTGTTCAAAATAACAACGGGAGAATATTGGGGTGCAGTTCCCTATCTATACACAAGAAAACAAGTTCCATTCCTTGTTATCAAAACGTAAGTACATATCGCACAAGGTGCGAAAAATCGTTACGAATATTAAATTGAAAAGCAGCAAACCATGTCATATCTCCTGAAGATGTAACAATCTGATTATCGTCCAGGAATCGGCAGCAAGACAGATATCCCGTATGACCAGGTAGTTCACGTGACACTCTCACATTTCCCTCCCTAGTTTTGAGTGAATAAATAGAGCAAATGTTGTCCAATCCTGAAAATTAGAACCTCACATAAGTGGATTTCTGTATGCAATATACTCTTGACGATATCGACTATTGGAAAGAAAACAAAGGAGAAATCGAATCCACATAATACACAAATACCTCCGCATGCTACAAAACTACCAGAAGGGGCATAGGCACACGTCATAACCCAGGATGAACGAAGAGGAATCGCATGTACCTGCAAAGAATATTGTGTAAGCACGTTTTCCGACGATAAGACTGAAATACGATCCACAAGTCACTTTGCAGGTGATCTTTCTATTCCATTTAACTCAGTATGATACCCTTTCACTCTGCAAAATACCGCTTGTTAAGAAATGGTGAAGCAGCTATACGCAAGTATGAACACCTGAACCAGTCCTCACTAACACACACAAACACACCTATTGATTTTTCTTAAATTTGGCATGACTATATTGCAGAGCTCGCAGCACTTCACTTAAACTGCATCCATCATCCATAAAGATTTCCTCGTTTGCGTGTGGGTTCCGCCGCAGTTTGTATACTCTGCTCTTCTCTATGAATGTCGCTGAATGGCGTTCCGGGTTTTCGTCACAGGTTTTTGGGGAACTGGGAAGTAAAGTGATCTAAGACAAATCTGCTACAAATTCTCTTCACTAAACAAGGATAAAACCTGACTAGCGCGGAGCTGGATTGAGCCGTGAGTGGCCTTTTGCGTCTTAAACGGCATAACTATCACTGCTCTACTCGTACCTACGACGAAATGCATACTGCCAAATACTATTTTTTTAAAAACTTTTAAAAGACCCGTCCTTTACATAAACTGTGGGGATACCAGCGCTTCTTGCATTCAGTTCATTATCCACGAAGATCTCCGCTTCTAGTTTTTGGGTACAACTGCTGCTTGAGGATTTATCACTCTTCATGAATGTCGTTGAATTCTGATCGAATCAATGCTCTAAGGAACTCCAGGAGAGCCTTGCTAGCCATTTCCCACATTGATTGCAAGGTGTTAGCTGATTCCAAATGGGCTGACACTAATCACCCAATTCTTAGGTAGAATGAAAGAGCAGAATTGGTAAGCCCGGCCAATGGTGGAACAAGAGCCATGCTCGTGAAGACTGGCATCACGAACATCGGGTTACGCGCCCCTTCTCGTAGCAGTAAAACAAGTGAATACCTAGCTTAGTGACGTCGAAAGAAGGTATTTTCACAAATCTATATGATCTTCCACACGATTTCTTGAGAATGCAGAGATAATGGTAGCACCCATAATGAAACCTATGGAACCGTGCTAGTTATTAAGAATAGTTTCATTGGCTAGTCACCACTCTACATAAAGCAGTTTCTAGAGCTGCAAAGAATTGCAACACTCATGTAACTTTGTTGTAGAGTATGTTATACAAATCCTCTCTGTACCGTTCCAATTTTAGTACATGTTCAGTAATAAACTCCTTCCTACGGTTTACCGCTTCATTGTGGCTTGGAGGTGTTCATAGGTGTCGGGCTGCGATGTACATCGAGGGCATTTATCCGCTCGGCAGGATCTACCAAGCTGAGGAGTTCGGCGCTTCCACTACGAAGCCCAACTAAGCGTAAACCAACACCAACGTCGACCACTGTCCTGGTACCAGACTAGTCACATGTTGGCAAATTTCCCTCCGATCTACAATGTCGGCGACTGCCTGCCGTGGTGACGACTTGGAGCAGACCTTGACCAGGTTGATCTCGGGACTCCAGGGAACCACAATGGCTAAACCAGTAAAACTCCGAAAAAAATGGAAGTTATGCTGAGACCCGCACAACTAGTGAAGATGGGCCATCCAAGCACCCAAGTATGTTACAAAAACACCGCTATAGAAAGATCAGAGAACGATTTCATTCGCAAGCAGTCTATAGTCACGGGAACTGTCGAGTTAGCATTCTTCATTCGATCGTTGCTCCACTTCACGGAATTCGAATCGATGTGACGACGAGCAACCATAACGCGAGGACGAACACTTATAGAGCATCGCCCACCTCGTGCTAACTTAATAACCGAAGAATATTGATTTTTTTAACCGACATAGCTAGTTAGCGAAATCTGTGATGGGATAAACTATTGACATGAACGCCACTCTGCTTGTACAAGTACACAGCTCCTACAACTTAAAAGAGTGCAATACATTTTTCCCGTCACTAAAGCCTGAAACCACTTAAAAAGTAGAATCAAAGATGTTCTTCAGTGCATAAGTGATTGTGGGAGAAGAAGGAGACTGTGATGTGAGCCAGTTTGTGGGCATCTCTGAACTGAGATCTGCCGGGTTGTGGCTCACGGCGGGCAGTCGCCGTCTCCAACGCACAAACCCGACTAAGCCGGAAATCGATGTGCTATGGAGGACAGAGCCCCGCCGTCCTGCACTGAGAGGAGTCAGCTCACGAACTAGATGGATTCCTAGTGAGCACTTGCCCATTTTTTTAAAGGAGAGGATCAACGAACCATATTAAGTTTGATAGAAAAACATAGCGCTCATATACAAACAGCGACGATATCTAACAAATTTTAACGAAGGTCAGATGAATAGTGCGGACCATCCAATCATAAGAACGTGATTACATCAGTCTAGGCACCTCACGAGCACCAGATGCATACTGTTTCCAATTTGTTCTTCCGTAATGGAATACTCACTTTATTTGTCGTATAAGAATCCCAAACAATGAGTTTTCCATCCTGAGAGGCCGATACGAGGTTTCTGCTATCAGAAGCCCAATGCATAGCATAAATCTGAAGAAATATGAAGTGATAACGTTCGAAAACATAAGATGTTAGAATGGAGTTGTTCAGAACCTTAGCTAGATGTCCTCGAAGAGTCCGTCGCGTCCTCATTTGGATTCGCCCGATAGGCTCAAGATTTGATGCAACACTTGCCAATGTCGTATCATTGGCAGCTTTTCGAGCCTCCTAAATAATAAGTGGTCAGATGCAGATAACAGATATCAGTACACCTCGAAGAAGAGGTAGAGCTCTCTGTTTGCGAGAGGTAACCACTCTTCTCATGGAAAGCAACAAATACATCATTCACAGTAAGGCTTCATGGTAGCAATGGATGTCTTTCCATGTGCACAATATATCCTCAGAATAAACAACTTTGTTCCATAAAAACCCCAATTTCCAACAACGCGCTGCATCTTATACATCATTAAAGTTCATAAGAATGAGAGTTAAACAATATGTCATCTAAAGGTCTTGTCTAAGCCCCAGGTCAATTTCGTTACCATCTCCAAATTCCATGCGGTAGTTAATCTTCACAATCGATACTTGTAGTCGAGAAAAACTACGCATTTCGTTAGAAACCCTATAGAGGAAATTCTTGAAGAATAGATGTGATGTTGAAGCAACTTCTTCAAATTCCATGAAGCTTCGAAATCCACTTGCATAATTGTTCTTCACAACTAACACTACTATTTGAGAAATACACAGAGTTTAAAGAACCCTACAACCTTTAAAAACTCGAATACACAGGGATGAAAGAGTTTTCTCGACGCTACAGGAAAACCGACTTCACAACGCCAATAGCAAATGGAGAGGAAAACATCTGTAGAGTTCTACTCAACTACGACAAATGAACGACTTGTCCATGGTGCAAACTGAATGAGAGTCAAGCCGTTGAGCTCGTGAGCCAGAGAGATTTTATACAACTATTTATCATGCAGTACGGTTTTAGGCAGATGAACTTCTATTTAAGAAACTGACAAGTGATTAGGACTTTGGCTGAAGTTGTAAATGGCTCTGTCTTCGTTCCTTAAACTAGGGCGAAACCCCTACGCCCATAACAGTCGTCAGAATGACGAAATTGTAGAGCATAAGGCGATAAAACTATAATGTCACGTTTCTATCTCCCATTAAGACCTTATCGAAGCGTCCTATTTGAGCGATACTACCAAATTGGGATAGCTGGTAACGGACCCTGAACATGTTACGGACCTGCCCCTAACACCGATAAGCACAACAGGAACTCGTTCGAACTTCGCGACGTTCCCCTTGCACTTACTATCGAGGGCAAACGCTGCACGCTGCACTGTGTGAAGCAGCCAGCGAGTCACACACACCACGATCGATGTGGAAGCGTCGTCGTTTTCCACAAGCTTATTCGGTTCCTACGTAACCACATCTACTGCATCTCTATCACTACAGCCTAATGAGCCATTGATGATGATTGAGTGGCAAGAGATACAACGCTAATCCTCCATACCAGTCACATCACATACAGCAGTCAGTGACGAAAATCAGCAGAAATCGACAGCGCGCAAGGGAATCGAAAGGACGCAAATCGACGGTGCATCAGACGGTTTGCAATAGTAGCAGTGAATGGCAAGACTGTGAGTGAAATCCAATGCAGCAGTCTAAGAGACGAGAACGAAGCCAAAATCGTAAATTCCTACCCTGATTTGGCTTTTCAACTGCTCAGCTTCCTGGCGCAGCTGGTCTAGTTCGCTCATGGTCGTCCCTGCTCGTCACGGTAGACGGTCGGTCGGCAGCAGCTCGGTGTGCGGACGGCGGCGGTTCACGGTGTTCTTCCACAGCGAGATGTTCGGCTAGCCGTCGAGAGACATGCAACTCTCCGTCAACGTCAGCACGGCTTCGGCTTGGGTAGCGGCGGGCAGGAGCGGGAACGCAGGCGGCTGCTGTGTGTGCGGGGGGTGGCGCGCTCCGCGCTCAGCCGCGCCCATCGATCGCCGCGACGCGACCGCGCGCCCTCGGCCCCGTCCGGGTCTCGGGCTCCCCTCGCCGCTCCTCCACCCGGGCTGGTGCTCCGCAGGGGTGGGTCCCGGGATCTGCGTCGCTATGGCTGCACGGGAATCGGCTTAGTTGTGGGCAGTGCTTCATCATGAGAATGAGTTCCCAGCAGAAACAATGTGGGATCTTGGTGTGCTGCTCGGTTTTTTTGTACCTTTCGCCTCCAGCTTAGCCGATAAGGGATAGTGCTGGCCAGAGTAACGAGTACCCGCAGTCATTTAAGGGTACGAGGATTTGTTTCCTTGTTAGGTTTCATTCTATCTCAGCAGTGTTTAAAATTCCATTTATATAAAACCGTCATACAAGGGATATTTTGGTTTCGACAAGGGCTGATCGTCCATTATTCTTCTAACCGCTTAAGTATTCATGAACGAGTGTTGCAAACCAGGAGCCAAGAATAACATAAGATGTGACTATTAAAAGTTAAGGGGAGAAGAGGCTTAACTTCTTCTCTTCTTCTCTTCTTCTCTTCTTGAATTTTTCTTGAAGCTGATCACCTTTCTGTAAGTAAATCATAAAATCATAGATGGAAACAAAACAATCCTAGTGGCTTCCTTTTGGGGTCGGGGTGAAAACACAGGTCTTTCCATAGTCTTACAGAAGAGTAGTACGTCATGAAGATACTAATTGTGGGTTGACAGGACTTAAGAACAAAAAAAAGGTGTCTGTTTAAGAGGAGCTGTTCTCTATGCGATTAATCATTTATGTATTGCTTCGTGTGCTGAGGTAATGGTAGTGTTTGGCCGAGTAGACTGTGCCTGTCAATTTGACTCATCCAAGCTTAGACGAAGACTAAACCGCTGAAACGTCAGCTATTGTGCATTAATAAATGCTCTAATAACGATCTCGTGTTTGCTCATCAAGGAAAGCAGTGAATCCTGAATCCTGAATCGACTACGCTACATCGGATTCGTTTGCTAGTATAGTTAACGAGTACCTTCAGTCCACCTTGTTAAAGAGAACTCCACGTTATGGAATAATGTTTGGGTGCGTCACACTATAAACCATATGTGTATTAAGCATTAGCTTACTCTGTAAAGGTCTGCAGAAGTTGACCGGAAAGAAAGTTGTTTTATCTCGGTAAGGCACTTCAGTAATCTGCTCTGTCAGAGCAACATAGACAGATGAAGTTTCTATCGTAGATAGAGATCTCAGTTGAGCTGATGGAAGTCGTCGTGACAGTGTACTAAAGTTTCTGGCTGCCATTCTTTTCTGGAGGAAATCAGTCAGAGGTTCAATTCAGTGTTTGTTCATGAAGTATTTATTTGGTAGACTAGTCGAAATGTTTGAGGGAAAGGCGAAAATCGCGAGGCATAGCGTATAATGTCGTATTTGAACAAGGACTTTCCAGATTTGTCGATATCCGCATAAACCACATGAACCTTTGATTCGAAATTTAATGATTCTGGTTGAGATTCAATCGTAATATCTCAGTGTTTAATAGGTTTTCCAAACTGTGGAAATCCTTCAGAAATCTCGAACAGGAAGCTTCCGTCGAGGTTCTAATACGGCTATCTAAGATTATCAAGTACGACGTCATCGGTTTAGACAAGAAGAGAACATCTACTAGAGTTCTCTTCCACATTGGAGAAGAATCCTTCCTCCGAACTTGCGATAGTACGACATCGGACCGAGAGAATCATGAAATCCAAGCACTTAATATGAAGCTTCTGCGAAGTCATATCAGGCGGATTTAACTTTATTATTGACTCCATACATCATTCGAAGAAAATTCCGTTAGGAAGAAATGGAATGGTTGAACAGTGGGGACGACTTTTGTTTATGAGTTTTGTTTTCTTCAGGACAACCAAGCTTACGGGAAGTGTCCTCCTCAATTAAACGGAAGAATCATCGATTTGGGAGTATTACGATGAAACTTATCAGGTAATTCTAGAACGAAGACTTCGCCTGAAACAAAAGATATGAAGTGCAAGAGAACGGACTCCAAATGGAATTTTTTTATCCTATCCAACAAGTCTTTGGAGCGACAACATGGATGGAGAAAGCGACTGCTTATGCAGCATCTTCACGATATTGCTGAGAAAATCGAGTTTGAAAACCACCGAGAAATCCCTAAAATTCTCGACCTCGTAGTGTGTAGCTGAAGAAGCCACTCAGGATAACATCTTGCAAAAACTGTGGTGAAATAACACAGAGGTGAAACTTGATGGCTTGCAGCTATATGAACCCTGCTTACCGTTCCTAAGTGATGGCATTCGTAAAACACAATCAGTCACCGGGAAGAATGAATGCTGTCGATTTCATTTGTGTGTGTGGAATTACCAGAATTTGGTTTCATCCACAGAAAAAAGTCTTTATAAGTGATGAGTGATTCATGATTGGAACACACATCTCGTAGTGGCCAAACTACTTTCTCCCTGGTTGAAAAGCCCATGTTGATGGACGGTATTGCATCATAGCTGGTAGGGAAAAGCGCATACGCTGGAAAACTTAGAGGACCGTCGGTAGTATAGTGAGGAAGGTAGGGACACCTTTCCTATTTGCAGCCTTTCAACGGCGATTCTTTCTGTCTTAAATTACGACTTGCGAAGTTAAAATGATGTGTATGCAGAATAAAAGAGAAGCCATCGTTTTTGCAAACACCACCAATAGTTATGTAAGGAGTGCTCGTATCACGAAAGTTAAGAAGAGATTCGGAAGTTCCAACCCACGACGGCGAAAAAATATAAGGCGATAGGACAACGTTCACCATGAATGCCATTGACTCAATGGCCATAGTCTTTCTCGAACTGCTTTCACTGAAAGAGTGGTGGTTTTCGTATGAGCTCGCTAGTTCACTCTAATGAGCCATTTCGACGATTGAAGACAACTAGTTCTCGCTTCCTCACTTTGTTCATTCGAAGGAGGAATGCTAGAGTTCATAGGTGAAAGCTCGAATTTAAAGCTCTTCGCAACTGTAAGGCCTTTGTCAGAATACACTAGTTACACTAGTGCCGAGTAATAAAGAGCAACATAATCTGCTCTAAGTTTCCAAACGAATATTGTCCTAGTCTTTCACTCGTACAGAATGCTTGAAATTTTCCACACGTTTCTTCCTCGAGTTCTACCATCCCATTCTCAGATTATCGTCAGCAGAAGTGATAAGGAAACTTTCCAAGTAGAAGGCTTTGTAACCTTGCGACTAGATGTTTGCCTTTGGACGACAACTTTTGTATTCAAACATTCTTAGCTGGGTCTTCTCATGGAAGTATCAAGCGTTTTCTTTTTGGCTGTTGATATCGAGAAAGTAGCTCCTTTTTGGGCACTAAAAACTTCGAATAAGTTTATTTATTACCCTTTTTTTTTATTAGCACGTGCTTACTTCAGTAGAAGAATTTTGTTGAAATTATTCTTTTTCGTTTTCCAGAAATATGTTCCTTACTTGTCGTTGATCATTATAGTACATCAGTCATCATCAGTTCCACTTCTTCCCACTTTTTTCGAAGATATAGAAAAATTTAGAAGTTGGTACATTTGTAGGAGGAAATACACTAATGGTTAGTGGGCTATGCCAGAAGTAAGCATTTCGATATCCCAACTAAAGATCTTCTTCATTTCTCGAATAGGTCTTTTCAATGGTATGTGGTAAACGAGTTGGGCCGATCGCCGTGGTAGCAGTGCAAAGGGCGAGGATTTCTGATACCACTGAACCTTCTAAAAATGATTTGCGAGGTTGCAAGGCCGAGTGAAACAAAAAAGTCAGCCAACCAAACTTCGTATATCAAAATACACAAGAGATTTTCCTCTTAATGTTAAAGCGGAAAGGAGGGATATTACGGATTCGTAAAGACGTCAACGCAGCTGTGACTCGGGTTATCGATCTGCACCAACTACTCATTACCCAGCTTAGACGACCACATTAAACTACTGCGGGTCGATGACGACATAGACCCCTTCAAAACAGAGTGGCTCAAGTAAAAACTCACAAGGACTTCATAAACTTTTGCGAAGTGGTCGAAATGGAATGGAAGCAATAACGGAAAGGTCAGAGTTTGCATTAATACTGTGAAAGTGATCTAATCTTCTCTAACTCGTACATTTCGCTGCACCAGTGTCTGCGTCGTAGCCCGATTTTACACTTCCATCGAATCATCGTATCCATTGTCATATTCGTTGCCATCATATCCTTTTAACAGATGCGAATGCAAAAACAATAGTTGTAGCTATCGAGCGTGTAGAGGAATCCGAGATTCCATAGATCCCAAGCCACCGTTGTTCGTGAGAAATTCCAATTTTAATGCGTTAGTGGCTAATGACCGAGGTTTTATAGTTTGTGTGGAGACAGATGGGTAAGTAAGCCGTTAAATCAGACTTCTTCATTCCGACTGCTTCGTCTACAACCACGAAAAGGCTTTGACATTTCTAATAAAGTGCTTGCAGGGTGGTTCAAGAATTACCTATTAGAATGAACGTTAACGATACAATGCAAAGCAAACATGGTGGTCCTGATATCCAAGGAGGAGTTATCTGCAGTTTATCGACAATGATCCACCAAACTACTTGATGTCTGTATGATGAAAGTTGCTACTGGTGTTACTGTCAAGGCAAACCTCGCTTTGAATAAAGTGAAGTCATCTGGTAGAGTTTGAAGCTAGATGAATCACAAAGAAGTCGTCATAAAGCTTGTTGAATCGTCGCAAAAACGCAAGCTATCGTTTTATCTCACTGATTGACCATGAGGTGCTAATTGATTAGTCGAATCACAACTCGTCACGAAACACTATCTTCTTGAAGGCATTCAGTGTATTGAGAAAATTTCACCTCGACGGCTGTAGCCTGAGTTGAGCTAGGTAATATGAGAGGAATTCGAATTCCGACAATGTCATCAATTCCTCATTGTTGATAACATAGTGACGTCATTTAATCATGTTGGGCATCAATCAAATGGGGCAACGAATGTTGAGTATCTCATTCATGCTTATGACAGGGACATGCAGTTGGATTCGGTGAAGACATTACTGCTCTTGAGGAACAATTTTATTTCTAGCCTCTCATTCGAGCGAAAAGCATGCTATGCTAGCAGTTGGTAAGTAGATAAATATAGTAAGCAAAATGGTACTGGAATTGAGCATGGGTTTGTTGTCACAACTTTTTCAATTAAACAGAATGAAAGCACGATCGGCGTCCAGTAGATCAATTGGAGAGGTGACAAAAGGCAAGCAAGTGCAGTACTCGCTTGCTCATCCGAATATCGACGACACTTCACAAGCGGAATGGAAGATGTTCGAGCTGATGGAACGAACAACGTAACAATATCTCCTGAACAAGGGTGGTGTTGCTTAAGGTCCTTAGTACGAGACACATGGTGACTCGAATACACATAGAGCGTTATATTCATACCCAAAGCACCTAGAAATAAGTTGAAGTCGAGTACTTCTCTTAGGGATTGTATGATTTATATTAATGGTGACACATGTATGCGACTAGCCAAATTAATTGAATGCTGAAAGTTCCTTACTCTGCGTTCACACGCGCGTCTACTTAATGTATACAATTTCATTCTCACCTCTATTTCTTTTCTTAGTAGGGACAAGAGGGCACATTCTTGGCACTTTTTGCTTTCCACCTTATCTTTGCTTATTTAAACAGGTTTATGGTTCGCCCTCTTACCGTGTTAATTCACCAAGTCACAATCCCATCTCGTCATCACGTCATCCCGTTATCCCACCACAAATTTTACAAGCTTAACGGAAGTGCTTAAGAAATGCTTCCAGGTACTATAATTACCGTGTGATTTTGTAAAATTTTTTGTGCGTTTGTTGAAGAAAAGGTCCGCAGCGGTTTTCGTACAGTCCAGGGAAATCGGCACCATTAGGTTTCCACGTCGATTATCCAAATTTCTATGGAAAAAGGAGAACAATTAGTTCTGAACTTGTAAAATACAACGTCTAGCCATTTCCCTTATCGTGAAAATAAGATTGTTAAAGCATAAATGAAGAAATGAAATTCCAAAAGTTTTTGCCTCTCGAGTAGTTGCGCTAAATTGCATAGGGAAAGGTTTTCAGTTTAAATGACGAGCATAAAAATGCGTCAAATCTAAAAGTAGTCTTTCCATGCTACCTGGAATTCAATCTTAGGTCTTTTTACAAGCAAATTTTGACGGTTTACCTTCCTAACCGAAGATCGGACCTGAACTAATATCGAGTTCTACTCTTTTGAACTTTCGAAGTCTTTCTTAATGTGTAATCTTTTTGTCATTGATACCGTTTAACTTACTTCGCATAGTTTCTGAAAACTATAAAAGAGTATTTATTTCTATAGTCTTAAAAGCTGATCTTGTTGAGCTGATGCAAGGTTGGTATAGCTCTTCGTTGTCGTTGTTGTTGGTACTGTTGGTCGATGGCTGACGCTTCGGCGATTTCGTCTTACTCAGAACTATGCAGTTACGAGTGGATATATTTATTTATGTGAGTATACGAAAGTAAATTGACGTGACAATAATTCTTGCACTGGTTTGCACACAGTAGCACCTTGGTTGCGAATTTTTTTTGATATCAGATTACCTCAGCCAAGTTCTGTTAATTTCCAGCAGATTAGTTGAGAAACACCATATGTTTTGAATAGACACTAACGGAAGCCAGGATTGTCAACGGGGTGTACCTCAAACGCCGCGGTCTAGTGAAGTAATTTTATTCAACGATTACTTATCTGGATGATTGGTTAGTCACTTGACACGCCTTCGACCTATATCACATTTTCCATTCGTTTTTGTCGGCCGCGATCCTGTTCAGAGGTGGAGATGGGCACTGCTTTTAGTACGGTAAACATGTGCTCATAGAGCTGCGCTACCTGCGAAGCGTTTGCAGTTGCGAATACAACCGCGATTGATGCTATTAACTAAAAATACATCCCGTCATCTTCTAGGCTTTTTCTTATGGGTCTATTTATATATTTAAAAGTGATTACTAACCCATTTACGTTTCCTTTTCGAAGTCTATTTCCTCAGATTTCCAAGACAAAATACATTTAGAATTTCTGAACTACAAAATTTGGTAGTATGCCAGTAATATTTAAAAAGGCGTCATCTATGCACTGTGTGACTGGAGCGTAGATTTCTCGACGTGATTAATATGAAACTCACTTCGAAGCGGCTTAGCAGAACGTTTGCGGAATGGCTGATCGCAAGCGCGGAGTTTCGGTTCTGTCACTTTGCTAATGACTTCTTTAACGGACATAGACGTGGTGTGTATTCTTCTCATCCTTAGGCTCAATTTTTTTCTCAGGTCGTTTCCAGTGTCTATGGAAACGCCCTTAGTAGATTTATCATATGGTCTTTGCTGTTACAGTGCTTTTCATCTCCATTTGTTTGCCTTTGCTCCATGGAAGTTTAATGGAAATGATTTTTTTCCAATTCGTTTATTATTCTTTTCAACGCTTCGTTGAGCTTTTTGAACGTCGCCCATGGTTCAAGGATATTTCGTAAAGATGAAATCGACAAAAATAAGGTTTGACAGCAATTCTACATCAATATCAATAACCTTTTCGTCCTATTCGAGCAATTTTATTACCCATCGCAATAGGGCGACAAACAGCTTTGACGAAATAATCTCGCCCCTATCAGCCCATTAAGCATTGGACATGGTAAAGGATCGATGGAAGAGCTGTAATATCGTGTTGTACTTGCAAGAACAGGAATCGAGAGTCTTTCAGGACCGATCTTTTCCATATTTTGCAATTGCCGATAAAAGAGCCAGTAAGTTGCAACAGAGTCGAACGTTTTCACAGGAGATAAGGTTTAGAACATGAGGGTCGTGGTCTTCTCGACGCACTTCTTCAAGCTTTAAACGCGACTAAGATGTGATGCTTGGAAATGAATCCGAGTCGAAATCCTGTTTACTCGACCAGTTGATCGTCTGTACTCCAAGTATGTGGTATAGCATAATTTTCGTAAATAGTTTGTAGAGTACATTCACCCAAGCAAATCGGATGTAGTTTTGGGACTGTAGTCACTTTGTTCATCGTTTAGGGCGGAGTGATCGGCACGAAGCCCTTGTTCTATTGAGGAGCATTTCCTTTTTCCCGCAAAAACTACGTATAATTAATTCATTGTTTCCTGCTCAAATGAATTCGACACTGTTGATATTCGGTCCTCTATTCATTTTTGTCTTCATGCTCACGAGTGGAATTCGGGCATCAGAGGAAAACACCTTAGAGGGTTTTTCTCAGTGAAGAATGTTGAGGTCTTCGACGGTAATTATAAAATAGAGAAGATTGAATTGGAACCTCACTATCAATTGTAACTCATGGCTGAAATTGTTGGATAGTCGTGACCCGTAACAATTCACTAGTGTGTATAGAGTTACACTGTATCCATATAAACTCCGATATCGGTCCTCTAGAAATCCTTTTTTTAAGCCGCTTGAAACAGTTACACACAACTCATTTTTCTTTTCTAAGGCGTGTTTTAATGTTGCAGATGCAGAGCATGCAACAGACTCCACGCTGTGGCCTGGATGCAATATTTTGAATCAGCCGCAATGATATCGTATATCAGCCAAAGTTACTATCTCCACCCCCTGAGGACATGGCCGGTAGTATCCTCTGTGATGCACACTCAGACCCAATATATTGTTTTTTAGGTTCTCACCTCGGACATTTGCTAGCCTATCAGTGGGATGTTCTGTGAGGTTAAGGACTCTTTACAAAAACGCCTGATTCGGAGCGATACAATAGAATGTTAAGCAACCAAAAGCAAATATGGAAATAATAGCATACCAAGTTGAACGACGATGTGACAAGCCGAATCTGCCTAACAAATATGTGGGCAATTAAACAGTTTAAATGTCAAATTTTATTTACTGCCTATTCTTTCCTCATGGCAAGTTACTAAGTGGAAGAAAACCAGAAGATGCCGAAATCTGAGCAAAACTTGGCACCTCAGGTGTGGTTCGAATCCGTGCTATGCCCTTCTCATAGTCATGTTTGTGCTCTATCAGTGCTATGAGCAATTGCCCTCCAACGGGAGTAAAAGAAAAGAGAATAAATTAAAAAATAGTGAACAGAAATAAATAAATAATAGGAAAGGAAAAGAGAAGGCAGCGAATAAAAGTTGAAATATTGTGGTTTCTACTGGAGCTTCAGCTTATCTGGGATCGAACCCGTTTTTCGCTCACTGGATCATTCCCGTTGAAGGGTGATCGCTGAGAGAAACTTTATAGTGAAAAGATGGCTGAGAAAAAAGCAAAGCTGGGACCACGGTTGACTGTTGTGGATCACACGTGAGCTACCTGTAAAGGTAATCGTGGGTAGGAAGCCCACCTGTCTTTTCGAATTTTGATATCTCAGCATCCTTGTTGTTGCACCCAGCAAATTAAATCCCTCGGTTTCGGTAGTTTTATCTTTTTTGTCAGGGCAAAAACCCGTATCACTTCAAGTGTGAGCAGAGATCCTGTTAAGTTGCCCTCTGCAGCACGTCTTGCTCGCTAGGTTATAAATACTCTATAATTTAAGAATCTCGGCTCCATCCAAGGCATTTTTATTGGTGTCTCCTCCTACATTTACTTTTTTGCTAGTACCGCTAACGAAGTTACTCATAAATTCGCCAAATCCCAATGCAAAGCCGGCGAGCTCCTTCTCGTTCATTACTGGAAAAATAAAGGGACTTATGAAAACAATGTAACGATGTTCGCGTACATAAAGTGTGAGAAGGTCTATGGGATAATCTGCGGCGCCTCGGGAATCAGGTGAGTTTTCACAGTGTTTGAAAGTTTTTTGAAGGGTGATTGATGCTATCAACTAAACTTCAATAACACGGTTGAGAGAAAGGCGAAACGAAGGACTCGTATGGTGTAGTAGCGAACGCGTTAGATCCCGGAAAGGGTAATAGCGTGTTCGATCCCCACCGCAGACACCAGCGGTTCGGAGTTTTGCAAATGTCTGGGCATCATTTATGGTTATATATCATACACTGCTCTGTCATTAGAAAAAAGATTAGGTAGTAAATAAAAAGTGATCATATCTGGGAACAGTCCATTTCCTGCAATCCAAGTGGGAGCGTTCTAACCCAGCTATCTTAAGACTTCAGAGAGAATCAGCTCGACCAGCATTCACGTTCATGACGAGAGGAAAGTCCTGAAGCAGCATCCGAAACGACCGCTGAAGTTGAAAGGCTTCAATGGATGATGGGTGTGAGGGAACAAATCGGATGAAAGAAGTACTGGAATCCGCAGAGTAAATGTGAAACACAGTTCCTGTAAACTAAACGAAATAAAATAGGTGAAAAATCTTCTCTGAAAATCCTAAGAACAGAC